CGTAAAAACGTACACCAACAAAAGTATCGTATGAGCATGTACACTTGTAGTGTGCTCCTAAGAGTGTGTTCTTTCTTTGATTTCTTAGCTATGCTACTATATATCTGATAGCTATTAACCATTTAGGTTAGATATCAATTATATCTTTCAACACTACTGCTCCTCCCGTTACTAAGAATGAAATGTATTTTAATGAAATTAGTAGTTTGTTAATAAGCATAAACAGTAGAATACGATGCATTAAGATTCGTTCTCACTTAATATTACAAACTTATCAGAGACATGGGGCTAACTAGTGTAGCTAATGCGAGCATATGCCTTTAGTAGGAACTTGGCTTTAAACAAATCTTAAACGATGATGGCTCAACAAAATGGTTATTTTATAACATTTTTCAGTTTTTATTGCTAACTTATTTCTCTTGGTCTGTAACTGAGATAAGGTTATCACGAACCGCTAGTCGGAAATTCTCAATCGTCATGAATGTACACTATTTTGTGTTGTTTTCAATAGCGATGAAGTAAAATAATTGAATTTATTTTAACTTTTACAAGTTGAATGTGAAGACTTTAAGGGAAGTCTATATACATTAGAAAATAGAATATATGTACTATGTTTTTACATCAAAACTTTGTTTCCTAAAGTCACTTTGGTCCACCGAATCACCAAAAAGGAAGTTACTTATCACATTAAAGAAATAGCTTTATATGAATTTGTATGTATGTGAAAGACTTTTGGTAATACCACTAACGAATATCTAGATTTCTGAACAAAGAGATGTGACCTAGGGTGTTATAGCCTAAATGAATGAGACAATTTGATATTGAAACATATTTTCTAAACTAATAACTGATATACGGGATCATCCTTTAGTTTAGTTTATACGGGATCCGAAAAGTTTCTTTATAATGGGACGTTTTTATAAAGAAAGACCTGAAAAATTTCTATGTTAGAGTTGGGGAATAATGTTATTATGGTTTCACTATTAAGTAGTGCAATATTCATAAACTCGATTATTTTAAAATTATAGGTATTTCTAAGTACATATTCTTGCATAAAATCATATTTCTACATTTAAACTATATTCGAAATAAACAATTTCCAAAAAACAGGCTGTTCAAACATTAAATTAAATATTAATTGTCTTTATAAGGTTTTCGTTTTTAAAATATTTTCCTTGTCAAAACTTAAACATTATTTATTTACGTAGTTGTTCTTTATATCTCTAATTGAAAACTTGAATGATATAATCTTATCGAAATAAGTATTTATGTTAAAAATTTGATGAAATAATGCAAGCATAAACAAAACCAAACCCAAGCAATTTTCTGTTTTAGATTCCGTCAAATTTCAATTATTCTGAATGTTCTTTAATGAACCCATAAGTTTTATATATTCCATCTTATTAAAAAAAACACTTTTTATTGATTTCTATTAAGAATCTATCAAAAAAATCTATCTGGTATTGTTTATAAATTTTTTTTGAACTGTTTTTGGGACTGTACTGACGTCATTAGGGGCGGTTTTAGAATATTTCGTAATATTTAACATCAATCAAATAAATAGTTTTCTAAAATAACAGCTTGTATTCTTTTAATATACATGTTTTATGTATATTCTGTAGTTAAATGCAATGTATTAATTTATTAGTATATGTATATATAGTATAGGTGCTAAAGTTGATGTTGACGCCATTAATGCGTAATCAGCGATTTTGTAATTAAAATGATATATACTGGTTAATCTATTCTAGGTTAAGCGGTTTATTGGTGCTTACAATTTAAATATTTTTGTGATAATATTTAATACTGGATTAACACACTCTTAGTGATAATGAAAATCTTTCTGATATACGTTTCTATCTAAGTAAATACATTTATAATCTTTTGTCTTCTTAGCAATGTCAATGCACTAACATAAGTACCATATAGAAAGTCTTTTTTAAGTTATTTAGTATTCTAAATCAATATAAAACATACTTTGAAATCTAAGTATAATACACGATCTCATTTATATGGCACTGTCGTTTGTTATTTAAAGCCAATAATCAATTAATAAATTACTGAGACTAAACGGAAGTAAAAATAATTAAATATTTATGTTTAAATATCCAATCAAATCAAAAAGCTATTTTTTGAAATTAAACTTGTTTAAATTAAACAGATTATATTTGGTAAATAAAAAATCTGATATTTATTTGCATTTATATATAAGAATAGAAGCATATATAGATTACGACAATGCAAAAATAGTCAACATCATTAATTAAAATAATTACATCAGCCATTGACAATATTCTCACTTCTTAATGGATTAATTCTCTTACAATACAAAATTCAATAGTGCAAAAAACAACATCATTATTATTGCAAATTTATGAGATTGCAAAGTACATAGATTTTGCATATGCATTGATACTTCTTATCCTATTATAATACAACAAAACTAACCTATAACTAGAAAAAAAGTATATATAATTTTCTTAGTTCCAAAACAATCAAGAACAGAGAAAAATAAAAATCTAAAACACAGTGAAAAATAAAAGGATAGAAACGGTTAGTTCACCGTTTGTATCAGTGGTGTAGGGAGGGAGTGGAAATAAGTCTCGTGAGCCACTCGCTGAAACTCAATCGAATGGTCTCGAAGACGACATTTTGACATATATTGTATTACTACCTGCTCTTCGACAGTGTCTCATTTTCAATGTTAAAAACAAAAGAAATAAATATTTTCGGTACAAAAACTTACCATAAAATATTTTTAATATTAATGTATATTTACTAATCGATCAACATCTCTATAAAATTATTTCCTTCTATATTTATGTATAATAAAAATATTATAAAGAAGAAATATTTAAGTGATGATATCTGTATATATTTGAATGAAGAATAATTAGCATCGGTTCAATAGCACAAAAATTAAAATAATCAAGCATTTAATTGAACCCATCACGAAGCAGCTATAATAACAGAAAATAATTAATTAAAGAATGAATCAATTTGTATGATTTGAATTTGTTTAT